TAATGGATGGATTTCAATGGATATTTTTTATACTATTTTGGCAACTCTAAAAAACTATTGAAATTTTGGTCAATAAACTAAAGATTGCTCTAACACCATAAGAGACGTCATAAAAGATTAACACCATAAGTGACGTCATAAAAGATTAACACCATAAGTGACGTCATAAAAGATTAACACCATAAGTGACGTCATAAAAGATTAACACCATAAGTGACGTCATAAAAGATTAACACCATAAGTGACGTCATAATATTTCTCAGCACATTCTTTCTCATATCAGTCGATTATTGTTTATGAGTCCAGACACTTACCAGAGGCGTAATTATTTCATTAACTTAAACATACACTTACATAATTAGTGAAGAAGTTAGTGGATAATCAGGAGTTAATTGCCCAGGTGTTGAGTGGATGGGTTAGGTATATACTGCACTGTGCACACCTGAGATTGTACCAGTTTCAGATATTCAGGTGTGTCCTTATCGTCGATTGACCCCTCAGAAAACCTGATTGGTGGAGGACATTGTCTCTCTCTCCCTCTCTCTCTCCCCGTATTTATTGAGCCGCGTCTGACAAGCTTATTCCGTGTGTGTGTGTGTGTGTGTGTGTGTGTGTGTGTGTGTGTGTGTGTGTGTGTTTATTCCTCATATATGGCCCAGCGTAAATGTCCACTCTTTATTTGGATAGCTTAACCCTTTTATATATGGCCAACTTAGTCTATCTATATGTGGGTATGTGGCCAATTTGTCACCTCTATGTGTGTGGCCAACATAGCCCCCATTTCTGTCCACCTCAGCTAGACCCCGGTAAGAGGCCATCCCCCTCTCCCCTTTTCCTCTTGTACGTGGCCATCTTATCTTCCCCCCCCCCCTTTGTGTGGCCTTCACGACCCCATTTTGTGAAGCATCTTCCCCATTTCCCTCTCCTCTTGTGTATGGTAAGTGAAGCCCCGACGTGAGGCCAGTTCAACCTATAGTGCTGGGAGGGGTGGAGGAAGAGGAGGATTAAGAGGGGGGGGGAGGAGGACGAGGAAGGGAAGGGAGAGGAAGGGGGACGAGAGGAAAAGATGGAAGAGGAGGTAGAGGAGGAGGAAGGTAAGGAGGCAGGTGACCCGTGTTACATAAGACCCGCCTCCGCTAGCTCGTACTGTCACTAGGGGCAGCGCGGCCCAGATGGACGGAGGAATATACTGAACACAAGAGAAGAAAACAAAATATAGGAGAAAATAGTAAAAAAAGTACGAAGATGAGTTGTTTTTATTTATTTATAGAGAAGAAAGTAGGAGGAAAATGAGATGTTTTCTTTATTTTTCTTTATTTTTATTGTTATTTTTGTTTTAGGGAGTCCTGATACGTTGTCGTTGTTATCTTTGGGACCGATATAATTTTAGGTCTTATTGGGTCCTCGGTAGGTCTTTTCTACTTCCCGGATTCGTGGTTGGGCTTCATGGTTTGCTGCCGTGGTCTCGAAGGCACCTAAACTGGTCTGGGTCTGAGGTTCATAGTTGGCCCGGGTCTGGAGTTCATAGTTGCCTTAATTCTCTGCGGTTGAAGGTGCGGAAGTCCGGGTTCAAGGCAGGGTTGAGGGCATGTATGTGTGTAAGAGCGTCTGGCCTCAGCTACGTGTATCACTCGCTTCAAAAAAAAAAAAAAAAGACTCTTTACGATTTTATGTTGAGACAATATGACACAATGGACGAAGCATTCTGACAACCCTACCGAGACAACAGGAGTCACAGTGTTCATTCTGAAATTCATCGGACGCCACCGTAGAGATACTTTTTTGGGGGGGGTGAGTACCGTAGACAGATCTGGTATGAAGTATTTATATGGCATCACACCAGTCACATTTTACTGTCTAATCAGTTAATACAGACAGTTAAACCATTCATGTCATTGACCAGTCACGTCCACCGTAGGTAAACAAACAATAACATCACACGTTTTTTATCACAATAACCACAGGTATCCAACCAATCACATTGCTGTCTTCTAAAAGTCGTGAACCACATCAGCCGGCCAACCACAGGTATCTGAGTGTTGGTCTTGGCATATACAGTAGCCGCGCTGGGGGGTTTACAAGCGGTCAAATATGGGCATAAAACATGTCGACAACCGCATGTGGAAATTTACACAGCCAATTGATTCAGTGTTGCCAAAAACAAGCTCTTCGGGTCCTCAAACACACACACGTAAATAGATTGAAAACAAAAACACAGACTCTGGTAATAGTAAAGAGTCTGTTTTATTTTGGCCGCCGTCTTTGTGTATCGTGGTTTAAAGGGGTTTAAGGGGTCAAATAATGGTAGGATGGTTTAAGGGTGTGGATGTAAGATGTGAGGAGGGATGTGGCTGTTCCTTAAGGGCTGTAGCAGAACAGGCTTTACAACATTGATAAAAACTGGCTGCTTCTCTCTCGTCCACCCTCGTCCACCCTCCCTTCCCCTCCTCCTTCGTCCACCCTCTCCTCCTCCTTCGTCCACCCTCCCCTCCTCCTTCGTCCACCCTCTCCCTCCTCCCTCCTTTCTCCTCCCCACTCCCTCCCTCCTCCTCCTGTGCCTCCCTCCTCCCCGTCCTCTCCCCCTCCTCCTCCTCCTCCTCCCTCCTCGCTCCTTCCACCTCTTCTGCCTGTCCTCCTCCTACTCCCTCTACCACCTTCCTCCTCCTCCCCTCCCTCCTCCTCCTCCTCCTCCTCGTATCTCTACCACCCTCTCCTCCTCCTCCTCCTATTCCTTCCTCTTCCATATCCTTCTCTTGATCTCTCTCCATTAAACACTCGATAAACCTTTTAGGGGGATGGTTAAACCCTTTTATGATGATGATGATGATGGTTTAACCCCCTTTAAGGACTATTATACTTCGAATTGCTTAAGGTTGAAGTTTTAACCTTTTCTTAAGATAGTGTCGTAAAAGGATGATGGTTTAACCCTTTTAAGGATGGTGGTTTAAGTAATTCAAATCGATAATATTAACCTAACCAAGGATCATGAGTTTAAACCATTGTCTTCAGAGGGTTAATACATGATTTATTAATTAGAGAGAGAGTGTGTGTGTGTGTGTGTGTGTGTGTGTGAGAGAAATCAACGCTTTTGTATTAGCTGTATAATGAGTGGTGTTGAGCAAGACATTGTTGGGGGCGGTGTTATGGTGGTAGTAATGGTGATAGTAGTAGTAATAGTGATAGTAGTAGTGGTGATAGTACTAGTAGTGGTGGTGGTGGGTTGAGGCCAGTGAACCATGGTGGGTGGTGGTTGTTGTGCCGTTGCCATGACGACCCCCACACACAGGAATGCTTGGCCACTTGCTCCTTCTGCCCCCACCTCCCCCTCCCACACCCCACCCTACCCCACCCCACTCCACCCCACTCCACCCCACGAGGATGTGTGGATGAATGGTACACCCCCTGCCTAATATTACTGTTGGTGGTGATGGTGGTAGTAGTGGTGATAGTGGTGGTGATGGTGGTGGTGGTGATAGTGGTAGTAGTGGTGATAGTGGTGGTGATAGTGGTGGTAGTGGTGGTGATGGTGGTGGTAGTGGTGGTGATGGTGGTGGTAGTGGTGGTAGTTCTGTTGGTGCTTCTACTGTTGCTATGTCTGTTGCGGCTTCTGTTGATGTTTCTGTCTCCGTTTTTGTTGTTGTTATTATTTGTTTTTGCTTTGTTTTCAATTTCCTCATCTTTATCAACCTCTTCTTAATATTTCTTTTCTATGTTTCTTTTTCGTCGTCATCCTCCCCTTCCTTTTTCTTCTTCCTCTTCTACCTTTTCTTCTTTTCTCTCTTCTTCGTCTTCATAGTCTTCTTATTGTTCTTCCTTTCTCTTCTTTTTCTTCTTCATTGTTTCCGTCTTCTACTGTACATCTTCTGTTGCTTCTCCCTCTTCCTCCCCTCCTCTTCACGCTGCCCCCCTACTCCTCCTCCTCCCTCCCTACTCCTCCCTTTCTCTCCTCCTCCTCCTCCCCCTCTGTCTCCCTCTCTTCCTCCCACTCCCTCCCTCCTACCTTGCCCCCTCCCTCCTCCTCCCTCCTGTGCCTCCTCCCCACCTCCCACCTCCTCCTCCTCCTCCTCCTCCTCCCTCCCTCCTGTCTCCTCCTCCTCCTCCTCCTCCTTCACATGGTGATCGTCAGGTTCTGGAGGTCATGCACTTGGGGAGGTAACGGTGTAGACGGGAGGCCGAGGGCTATGGCGGTGACTGAGCTGGTCAGGCCGCCACCAACGCCACCCGGCCGCCACCAACGCCACCCGGCCGCCACCAACGCCACCAGGCCGCCACCCAGCCGCCGTCACCGCCACCACCACCGCCACCTGCTATCCTTACCTTCCACCTCACCCTTCACCCACTTGGAGGAGGAGGTGGTGGAGAAGGGGGTGGTGGAGTAGGAGACCGGAGTGAAGAAGAGGAGGAAGGGGGAGGAGGAGGAGGAGGAGACGAAAGTAAAAAAAGAAAGAGAGAGAGAGAGAGAGAGAGAGAGAGAGAGTTTGTGAAGTATTTTTTTTCTTTTAATATTCACGTGGAGGAGACAACTTACTTCAAGGCTAGTATGAGTATTTGAAGACGTACTGTTGTTTATTGTTGTTGTTTATCTGTTTATTGTTGTTGTTTATCTGTTTATTGTTGTTGTTTATCTGTTTATTGTTGTTGTTTATCTGTTTATTGTTGTTGTTTATCTGTTTATTGTTGTTGTTTATCTGTTTATTGTTGTTTGTTCTGTTGTATATTGTTTGCTGTTGTTTTTTGTTTATTTATGTTGTTTGATGTTTGTTGTTGTTTGTTTGTTTATATTGTTTATTGTTTAGCATCATGGTTTTGTTTATTCTTGTGATTTAGCCTTTATTATTATCGTGTGTGTGTGTGTGTGTGTGTGTGTGTGTGTGTGTTACTGTCAGTATATATAACCTGACTTAACCATCATATGTATCAACAGGTATGAGAATTAACCACCAGTAACCACCATTTACCACCATCAACAGTGTAATTTCCTTAACTACCAGCTCATACAGTCCTGGGGGAGGAGTCTGATGAGAACGAGGAGTTGGCTACCCGCACAGTGAGAGACATGGGACGGATCATAGCCAGGATGATTGCTGATGGTGAGTACCCTGTGTAGTAATGAGTTTACCTGTCTTTCTCACCTGTGTAATAATGAGTTTACCTGTCTTTCTCACCTGTGTAATAATGAGTTTACCTGTCTTTCTCACCTGTGTAATAATGAGTTTACCTGTCTTTCTCACCTGTGTAATAATGAGTTTACCTGTCTTTCTCACCTGTGTAATAATGAGTACCTGTCTTTCTCACCTGTGTAATAATGAGTTTACCTGTCTTTCTCACCTGTGTAATAATGAGTTTACTTGTCTTTCTCACTTGTGTAATGATGAGTTTACCTGTCGACTGTGTAATGAATGAGAGACTTACCTTTCCCTCTCTCACACCTCTCACCTGTGTAGTGATTAGGACTTACCTGTCACTCACCTGTGTAATGATGAGGAGTTAATCTAGGTACCTCTCCCACCTAGGTGATGAAGAGTTGCTTGTCTCACCTGTGTAGTAATTAGATCTTACCTGTTCCTCTCTCACCTTTGTTGTAATGAGGTCTTTACCTGTCCATCTTTTTCACCTGTGTAGTAATTAGATCTTACCTGTCCCCCTCTCAACTGTGTAGTAATGAGGAAATCTTATGAGTTTTAAAAAAGTGTTGTTAATTATTATTATTATTATTATTATTATTATTATTATTATTATTATTATTATTATTATTATTATTATTATTATTATTATTATTATTTCCCTGTATGTTTTAAGGCATTTTAGCCGATTATTTATAAACAGTTGCTACCTCACCTTTAATTTTGTTTCCAATTTAGTGTAACTACGGATTTTCTTCCTTCATTTCTTCATGTACGTAATATTTTTTGGGGTGCATATTGATTTAAATCATTCTCTTTCGTTGTTTTTCTGCCTCAAACACGATTTATTCCCTCCTTGTCATACGCGTCACAAGAGCGAGTGTTTTATTCAGCTAGCGTGGTCAGGTGTGAGGTGGTGCGGACGTGATATAATTAATGCTGAATCCAGGTGTTATGGCTGGAGGTAGCATCAGTCTTGTTTACACCGGTGAAGGGAGGCATCCTTGTTTCCATTTTCCTTGCCAGTTTTATTTTTATATGTTTATAACGTGGAAAAAAAAACTTGTGGGTATTCTGGGTTGAACTTTAGAAAGTGTGAAAATAAAAACTAAATTATATTCGCCATTTTGTTGTATATTACCTGTCGTCACGAAATACCCCTCCGTGTTATATATATATATATATATATATATATATATATATATATATATATATATATATATATATATATATATATATATATATATATATATATATATATTTTGTTTGCTTGGTGTAATGATGTCTTGTCCTTAGGTGTTTTCATCCTTGGCTGGCTGAGGTTAGGTTAGGCTAGGTTAGGTTAGGTTAGGATAGGATAAGATAAGATAGGATAGGATAGGATCTGTCCCCTTCCCCAAACATTTGAATCCACACTCCAGCTTAAAATTCGTAGTGTTTCCTCGAGGTTAAGTTAGGATGACCCCCCCCCAACATTTGGATATGAGTGTTTCCTTGGTGGTTGTAATATTGTAGAGTAATCAGGCTTTCTTGGAATAATAAAGACCATTTTACCATTAACCTCGTCTTATTCATGCTTAACGGGAAAAGGGGAAGAGTTAGAAACCTTGACTAAACAGCTCCTCTCCACCTTCTTTTCCACCCTCCTCCTCTCTCCCCCATATCCCCTCCTCCCTTCTTCCCCCTTCTCCTCTCTCTCCTTCTTCCCCCTTATCCTCCTCTCTTCCTCTTCCCTTTCCTTCTCCTCCTCTCCCCTATTCCTCTCCTCTCCCCCTCCTCTCTGCTTTATCCTCATCTCCCTCCCTCCCTCCCTCCTCACCCTCCTCCCTAGTTTACCTTCACACACCAGCCACTCGCCACCTGCTGCCCGGATCACCTTCCTCGCTAAGCTAATACACCACACAGTCTGTCTTTAATCCTTGACTATATGTAAGACGTAGGGAAGATGATGAGTTACTATGCAAGACACAGCGAAAGGTTCAATTGGTGGTCTCATGGGAGTAATCATTTTAAGGTATTTTAAGGCAAGATTTTAAGATTTATTTTACTGGGGTTTTTTTTTTTTTAAGGAATATAGAAATAATTAAGTTGTGTTTTATAAGATTTAATTCTCTTAGGTTGAGAATTATGAAGTGTTGATGGGGTATGGTGTGTATTAAATGATATTGTGTGTGTGTGTGTGTGTTGTGTGTGTGTGTGTGTGTGTGTGTGTGTGTGTGTAGTTGAACATGCCCTGGGTCCCACCACATTTCCCCTAATTATGGGCTGTCTGTCCTCCATCTCTGGTAAATACGATACCTCCTCCTCTTCCCTCCTCCTCCTCCTGTGTGTTACTGAGGAGGAGGGGCAGCTGAAATAGGATCTTGAGAGTCATCCTTGTATGAGTTTGGGAATGAATTGGTTTAGATTGGAGACGGGTGGTTTGAATTGGAGACAGGTGGTTTTAGATTGGAGACGGTGGTTTAGATCGGAGACAGGTGGTTTAGTGAGACGGGTGGGTTTAGATTAAGAGCAATTGGTTTTAGATTGGAGACAGGTGGTTTAGATTGGAGACAAGTGGTTTAGATTGGAGACGGGTGGTTTTAGATTGGAGACAGGTGGTTTTAGGTTGGAGACGAATTGGTTTTAGGTTGGAGACAGGTGGTTTAGATTGGAGACGAGTGGTTTAGATTGGAGACGGGTGGTTTAGATTGGAGACGGGTGGTTTAGGTTGGAGACGGGTGGTTTAGGTTGGAGACGGGTGGTTTAGATTGGAGACGAGTGGTTTAGATTGGAGACGGGTGGTTTAGATTGGAGACGGGTGGTTTAGGTTGGAGACGGGTGGTTTAGGTTGGAGACGGGTGGTTTAGATTGGAGACGAGTGGTTTAGATTGGAGACGAGTGGTTTAGATTGGAGACGGGTGGTTTAGATTGGAGACGGGTGGTTTAGGTTGGAGACGGGTGGTTTAGGTTGGAGACGGGTGGTTTAGATTGGAGACGAGTGGTTTAGATTGGAGACGGGTGGTTTAGATTGGAGACGGGTGGTTTAGGTTGGAGACGGGTGGTTTAGGTTGGAGACGGGTGGTTTAGATTGGAGACGAGTGGTTTAGATTGGAGACGAGTGGCAGTAGAGAGAGGATTGGTTCCCGGAACACAAGCATGAACCAGCTATCACACGAGAGCTGATTAGTGATTAGCCACTGCAGGAGGCCAAGGACTGTCTCCGTCTGGTTTGGGCTCGACCGGTTATAAGACTCGACCGGTTATAAGACTCGACCGGTTATAAGACTCGGCTTGTTATAAGACTCGTCATGTTATAAGATTCGGCATGTTATAAGACTCGGCCCGTTATAAGACTCGGCCCGTTATGAGACTCGGCCCGTTATGAGACTCGGCCCGTTATAAGACTCGGTCTGTTATAAGACTCGGCCTGTTATGAGACTCGGCCTGTTATAAGACTCGGCCTGTTATGAGACTCGGCCTGTTATAAGACTCGACCTCTTATAAGACTCGACATGATATAAGAATCGACCTCTTATAAGACTCGACCTCTTATAAGACTCGACATGATATAAGAATCGACCTCTAATAAGACTCGACCTCTAATAAGACTCGACCTCTAATAAGACTCGACCTCTTATAAGACTACCTTTTATAAAACTGGACCTGTTATAAGACTGGACCTGTTATAAGACTCGACCTGTTATAAGACTCGACCTCTTATAAGACTCGACATGATATAAGAATCGACCTCTTATAAGACTCGACCTCTTATAAGACTCGACATGATGTAATAATCGACCTCTTATAAGACTCGACCTCTTATAAGACTCGACCTCTAATAATACTCGACCTCTTATAAGACTCGACCTCTAATAAGACTCGACCTCTTATAAGACTACCTTTTATAAGACTGGACCTGTTGGACCTGTTATAAGACTGGACCTGTTATAAGACTCGCTTCGGCTTGCTAGTAGTGGACAAGGTACAGTACTATCGTGTCTTGATCAGCAGGTGACTGGAGTTAAACTGCTGCTTGTTTTTGTGGTGATCGAGAGAGAGAGAGGGGGAAGAAGGGAGGAAGAGAGAGAGAAGGGGGAACAGGAAGAAGAGAGAGGAGAGGAGAGTAGGGAGAAGAGGGAGAGAGAGAGTAGGGGGAAGAGGAAGTAGAGAGAGAGAGCAATATATTTATTAATTTGTTTTTCCTTCTAATTTTTTTTTGTGATTAATAAATGTTTCTGGTTATAAATTATTCCTACATCATAATTTACATATTGTTTATTCATGAAGTGTACCGACTCTTGATGATTTTTTCCCTTAAATCAAATAATTTTCAGTATATGATTATTTTACGAGTAATTTATGTGATTTTAACTCATTTTTGTGTGAGTTGATTATGTAAATTATTGCCACAACACCCAAGGAAGGTAATTATACTCACCTAACCATTAATAAGTTAAGCTGGAGAGAAGGTCATTTAGTTGGGTGTGCCTTGCAATGTCCCTGTGTGTGTGTGTGTGTGTGTGTGTGTGTGTATACTAGTTAACGCCATAGTAATCCTCTACTGCTCCTTTATACGCCCACAAACACGTTCTTAGTTTGTTTACTCAAGATTCACAATTCAGTATAGTGGGGCAGGATTAATTGTATAGTGAATGTTGTTAATGGCGTATAAGAAAGCATTAGTAACAATAACTTATGGTTCGGGATAGCTTAGAATGGGTTTAATGGTTTGGTTTAATACTGTACCGAAATGGTCTAATGGGGGCTTAGTGAGAAGACTCCTTCGTTATGGGGATATTGAATATTAATGAGGCGTGGTTAGGCTCCTTCATTTATGGCTCATGATGAAGCTCAAAGCTCCAGGGTAATGGCTCTCGATCACTAGGGCTTTCGAGAATTTATTTATTTTTATTATTTTTTTTTAGATAATGTAGTCCAAGGTAATTGTATTGCGTAATGTGAGGCTGATAGTGGCGGTAGGAGAT